GATCTTTCGGTCGCATTACAGGGCGCTATCGAGGGTTCTCCGCGTCGATGGAATTGTTTGATGAAGATACAATAAAACGTCAAAATGCTGTGCTCAACACCCAAAGACGTTAACAAGGGAATATTCGTGGGTGTCCCAAGCATCCAGATAGAGCCGTTGTCGGGGCAGCAATGACCTACGGAACCATGTCCCACTTATTCTCAACAAGGAAGACACTGAAATCAAAAACACAAAATGGAAAGTTACTAGAACATGATGATACCCTACAGTGGGTTTTCTAATGAGCCCCTCCAAGGGTTCGTTTGAGAGACACTGTTTAGAGAAGGCGTAACAACAGACAGCGGCGCGATGGAGAGACAAAAGACATTACGTTTTTCAACAAAATCACAGCTAGACCGAGGTACCCTCCCTTTCAGAAAACGAGAAGAGCGTCGGGTGCAGACGGCACACCACAAGTGACGACGGCCTCCAAGTAAATCTGGTTTGGTGAATGATAGTTGTAATTATTGGCAACTACAGGGTACAATCAAAACACAATTGCAGCAGGCTAATAATTTCACTGACAGAAAATATTATATTTACATTTGTGGAGGCCGTCGTCATTGTGGCGTCTGGTCTGCACCGTTTTTTGAAAGGGAGTATACCTACTTTTTTTCTGATAGGATATAGCTGCAGGAGGATAAGTAAACAGCGCCAGTGCGAGGCACCTTCCACAAATTTTCAGCAATCTGGACCCACTATCCCATGGCACAGATGTAAAGCCATAAGGAAGTGCTTATGGCCGTCTTAGTGAGGCCTTTTCTGAACGATATTTTCAAACCAGAGCTTTAAAATAGACCTATTAGGATAAAGCCCTGTAGCATATCATTATGCTGCAGCAACATTCAAGCTCGTGTCTTTTTTTTTGTAGGCGGGGTAAGAAATGTATAGCAAAAGAGGAAAACGTTAATCTCTGCCACACCCTATTATGACCTCTGGAGGCAAAGACCAGCCAAATGTCGATTTGAGCGTCAACTGGCCTCGCCTTTCTTGTCAAATGCGCATATAGCCGATTTTGACTTGATGACGAACGCGTGGCGCACCCAAAATCCGCGATGCTGATCCGCGCCCGCGTGGCTCGGATCAGCACCGAGCAGTTTGTCATTTTGTCTTACACAGATTTTTGATAACACATACTTTGAGTGAAATCCCTGACTTTGGAGATACTGATACTCCTTTTCATTGCCTTGTCCGCAAAAAACCACATCGCCTGTCACGGTGCCATTTGGTGAATACGCCAACCATTGTATACCGGCATCTGAAGCAAAAGACGGGAAAGAATTTGAACTTTATATTTAAATCAAAATTATTTATTATTATTTAACTCAATTTTTATATATGATCTATAATGATGCTATGTGGACCAGTAACTCTATTACCGAAACTATAACCAACTATATTACTACACTATTATTCAGCATAAATCTTTGATTGGGCAAGTCGAAAAGAATAAAAATTGGTCAAGTAATGCGGGTGTTATCCATCATTATACACAGTCTCCTTTCGCCTATCGACCCGCTGGTTGAATTCATTTTTCAGAAGACAATAGAGCCTACGAAATTATCGAGCCAATTTGATGAGCTGCAATTTTCCCAATAGTCTCTGTAAATTTGTGAGCGGAAAAGACGGTAGGCAGCTGGCGCCAAGTCTGGCGAGTATGGATGAGCACTCATTTCAGCTTAGGAAGGGCTACTTTGCTGCATTTTTGCAA